TTTGCCTGGGAACTCTGCAGTGCTGTGCGGGGTGGGATGCACACCCTCCCAGGGCCCGTGGAGTCCTGGGGACGCGTGGCGGTGTGAGCAGTGAGAATGAAAGGCCGCTTCCTCTAGGCTGGCCCCCGGCCACAGCTACCACAGGGCAGTCCAGCCTCACTCTGGCCTCGGCCGGTGTGGCTGTGCGGGCTCTGACCTGCCTCAGGGTGCCCCAGGGCGCCATTCCCAGGGCATCAGGAACCCATCGTCCTCCCTCATGGCCAGGTGCCACCCCCCTAGACTTGGAGTGAGTGCGTTTCCAAGGGAGGGCGGACAGGCAGTGCCGGGTCCCACTGATCTGTCCTCCCAAGGGAAGATGGGGGCCCTGCCGGACAGCATCGGTGGGCGGGGACAGGCAGCTCAGGCCTAGCAGGGCAAGCGACCAGGCGTGTTCCCCTACCCCGGGGTCTAGGCTGAGGGTCCCTGGGGCTTTGATGGGCCCCCTGGAGTCTCCAGGCTCTGACTTCAGAGGGTTAGAGTTAGAGGAGCTGGGGCGGAGCCCAGCAGAGCAGATCTCGGGATTTCCTGGTCCCTGAAACTGGAAAAGGCCACAGCGGTGTAGAAGCCACTGCAGGGCAGCAAGAGGGGTGTAGCCTCCCTGGGGCTGGGGCTGCTCGGCCTCAGGCTGGGCCGCCGGGCTCAGGGCTTGGAGGGCACATCTGAAGGGTGCTGAGGAGTGAGAGCTCTGTGGTCCCCACAACCCACCAAGGGACGTGAGGCCGGGGACCCACACCCTGGGCCTCAGTTTCCTCCTGTGGAATGGTGACAGTGACAGCAGAGCTCCCTTCCTGGGACTGCTGCAGGCTTCCATGAGACAACACGTCACCAAACCGCAGATCCCCCTTCAAGGTTCGGTGCCTGGCGTGTGCCTGCTGGAGGCAGTTCATGGGACAGTGGGGACCCTGAGAGCGGCTCTCAACTCAGTCATCATAGGCCCTCATGGCTCTATGAATCTGAACTACAGACAACATGTTTTAGGACGGAACAGGGGGATGTGAGACGCTGTCACAGGGCGCCTGCCTGAACGAGGACAGACGCAGGCAAGCGCTGCTCATCTTCCAGCCTGGGTGTGGCTCCCAGCATCCGGCCTCTCGTGGTCTCCTGGGTATTCCCAGCTCACTAGCTGGACCAGTGAGGTCAGCCCAGACCCGGCCTCGGACATGTTTTCATCTTCTTCTACGCCACCTGGTGCCTTTGGGGACTCACGGAATTGCCCCGAGAGGACTGAGCTCCTCACTGGGAGGGGCCCGTGTGGGCTCTTGTTCCTGCTCTGTGCACCCAGCATAGGGCCTGGAAGAGGAGGCGAAATGCCAGTGGGGTAATTTGGAAGTGCAGCCCTCCGCCCCTCCTTCCTGTGTAGGACCTTGCTCCAAGAAGATGAGTCATCCAAGGTCCAACCTTCGCGTCCAGTTCAGCATGCCAGGAACTTAAAGTTGTTAATTCATCCTAACATGAAGTAAAAAAGGAAAAATATTCCCCAAATCAGTAAGTCTTCTTAGATTCCTAAGAGAAGTGAGACCCCACAGCAAACGGCCACCCCCAAGACTGGAGGGTCAGACAGGTGAATATGGAGAATTGCCACTCACCAAGGGTAGGCTTCCTGGGGGCCAATGCCAGGAAAAAAATCCCGAGCAATCCCGGAAGAGCTTCTGGGGCTCAGTGTGCACAAGCGTAAGAGCTAAGATCTGTCGGGAACCCGGGCACGATGCCCCACTTAGGTGAGTTTTCCCTCCAGGACCTCTACTAGGTCCTCACCGCAAGTATCAGAAAAGTCTATGTCAGGCAGCAAGAGAAGAAGAACGGCCATGATGAAATACGCCAGAGCATTCTGTTCTAAAAAGGCCAGCCTTTCGGACAGACTGTGTTGCCAGAGCCTAAGCTGTTGGCTTTTATCAGAGCTGAACTCTCTGGGAGAGTAGAGACATCCAACCCCAGCCCGTGTCGCCTGCCACATGTCAGAAGAGCCAGACACAGCCCCAGCCCTTACTGGGCATCCTGTCTCATTTAAGTCAAGGAAACACTGAGAAGCCCTTGTAATGTTCACGGGCTGGGGACACAGGCTCACTGAAAGTCTCAGACCTACTCACAGGACCACAGCACACTCCCCTCCCCGCACCTTACCCCTGAGTCATCAAAGGCCTTTTTGCAGCAGTTTCTTTTATGCAGTATATTATGTCCTGGGTTTAACAAAAAAACGATACGCCATACTAAAAGGCAAAAGCTGTGGTTTGAAGCGATGGAGTAAATATTAGAACCAGGCTCAGATATGGCAAGGACCTGGAATGATCAGCCGGGAATTTTAAACAACTCTGATGCTAAGGACCCTCGTGGAAAAGTAGACAACACACAAGACCAGATGGGGAAGGTGGACATCGAGATGAACATTCCAAGGATGAGTAAAAAAATAAATTCTGGAGATCAAAAACACTGTGACAGAAACAGTGTGCCTGAGATAGGCTTACGAGTAGACCGAACACTGCTGAGGAAAGAATCTCCGAGCTTGAGAATATGTCAATGGAAACTGGAAGCTGAAAAGCAAAGAGAAGAAAGACTGAAGAAAATAGAACAGAACACCGAGGACTGTGAAACAATACTGATGTGTAACATTCACCAAATGGGGACATTGGAAGGAGGAAAAATGAAAGGAACAGAAGAAATATGTGAATCAATAATGATTAATGTCAAACACCAAACCACAGATTCAAGCAGCTCAGAGAACACCAAGTGGAAAACAACAAAACAAACATCTCCACCTAAGCATATCATATTCAAACTTCGGAAAAATCAAAGATGAAAACGAAACCAGGGGTTGGGAGGGGCACAGTTTGTCTATACAGGAGCAAAGCTAAGAATTATATCTGACTTACCCTCAGAAACCACGCAAGCAAGAAGATAGTGGAGGGAAACATGTCAAGTGTTAGATGAAAAAAGAAAATACATTAACCTAGAATTCTGCATCCTGTGAAATTATCCTTCAAAAGTGAACATAAATATTTTCTTAGGTAAATAAATATTGAGGGAATTTGTTGCCAATAGAACTGACTTGCCAGAAATGTTTTTAAAAGTTCTGCAGAGAGAAAGAAAATGATACAGGTCAGCAGCCCTGATCTACATAAAGAAAGGAAGAGCATTTCAGAATGAATCAGTAAAGAGAAAACGAAGCCTTTTATTTTTTCTTAATCTTAATTGATCTAAGAGTTTGCTAAAACAAAACAATGACAACAAAAATAGGCCGGGCACAGTGGCTGACACCTATAATCCCAGCACTTTGGGAGGCCGAGGTGGGCTGATCACCTGAGGTCAGGAGTTTGACACCAGCCTGGCCAACATGGTGAAACCCTGTGTCTACTAAAAATACAACATTAGCCAGGCATAGTGGAGCATGCCTGTAATCCCAGCTACTTGGGAGGCTGAGGCAGGATAATTGCTTGAGCCTGGGAGGCAGAGGTTGTGGTGAGCCGAGATCACGCCATCGTACTCTAGCCTGGGCGACAGAGTGAGACTCTGTCTCAAAAATAAATAAATAAATAAATACATAAACAAATATACATAAATAAAAGTCAGAATGTATATTTGATGATCATAGTTATGTATATGTGAAATGAAGGACAGCAATGATACAAGGGATGGGTGAGTAGAATTAAAAATATCTTCTTATTTATTTATTTTGAGATGGAGTCTTGCTTTGCTGCCCAGGCTAGAGTGCAGTGGGATGATCTTGGCTCATTGCAACCTCCGCCTCCCTGATTCAAGCATTCATCTTGCCTCGCCTGCCGAGTAGCTGAGATTACAGGCAAGTGCCACCACACCTGGCTAATTTTGTATTTTTAGTAGAGACAGGGTTTCGTCATGTTGGCCAGGCTGGTCTCGAACTCCTGACCTCAGGTAATCCACCCGCATCGGCCTCCCAAAGTGCTGGGATGACAGACATGAGCAACTATGCCCTGCTTAAGAATATCTGATGATTGTAAAGTGCTTGCGTTACCTCTGAAGCTGTATAGTGTTATATGAAAGTGGACTTGGAGGATGAGTTTTAAGTGTATATTGCAAACTCTAAGGCAACCACTAAAGAAGTGAGACCCAGCCTCTAGGAAAAAAAAGAAAAAAAAAAAAGGAAATGAGCTATTAAGCCATGAAAAGAAATGGAGGAACCTGAAATGCATATCATTAACTGAGATAAGTCACTTTGAAAAGGCTACAAACTGTGTCATTCCAACTATACAACATTTTGGAAAAGGCAAAAGCATGGTGATGACGAAAAGATCGGAGATGCCAGAGGCTGGGGCAGGATGGGTGAACAAGCAGAGCATGGATTTTCTTTCCCTCTTTTTAACGCAGTGAAAACACTCGTAGAATCCTGCAAGGAGGGATACAAATCACAAACATTTGTCAAAACCCACAGAATGTTCACCACCAGGAGGAGACCCCATGTCAATCCAGGGCCCTGGTTGACAACAGCGTATCCAGATTCCTCACATGGAACCAGCGTGCTCCCGTGGTGCAGGATGTGCCTGTGTCAGGGCAGGGGCTACATGGAAATTTTCTGCAGTTTTGGATCAAGTTTGCAATGAACTAAATCTGTGGTATAAAAATAAAGTCTATTAAAAGAATCCAAGGCCCCCTCTCATCTCACGATAAGATAAAGTCCCCATCCATTTTGCTCCTTTCAGTCCTGGAGAAAGGAGAGGGCACATCCCACCACCTGCCACCAGCATGGACCCCCGTCCAGACCCCGCGCATCTTCTCAGCATCCTCAGACCAGCAGGACTTGCAGCAATAGTGGATTAGGCACCTGACTTCTCCTTCATCTACCTTTGGCTGGGGGCCTCCAGCCTTGACCTTCGCTCTGAGAGTTTCAGGCAGGTCCAGAGCCAGTTCTCCCATGACGTGATCTGTTTCCAGGGCAGGTTCCTGGGTGAGATAAAAGGATTTGGGCTGAACAGGGTGGAGGGAGCATTGGAATGGCACTCAGGGCAAAGGCAGAGGTGTGCATGGCAGCACCCTGGCTGTCCCTGCAAAGGGCACAGGCACTAAGCACCAGAGCTGCCCGGGCCCCTAGTACGGTGCTGCCCTTTGAAGCCATACCCCAGCGTCCAGGCAACAGGTGGCTGAGGCTGCTGCAGATCTGGAGGGAGCAGGGTTATGAGCACCTGCACCTGGAGGTGCACCAGACCTTCCAGGAACTGGGGCCCATTTTCAGGTAAAGCCCTCCCTGGCCCTCGCTGGGAACACCCAGAGCCCTGCCCCTGCTGCCCAGGACCCTGCCGGGCACACAGCACTGCTGTTCCCAGCAGGCCCCGGCACTCTGCATCCTTTGGAGGATGGGGAGGGAGTGCAGCATGTGCTGGTCTGTGGTTCTGCCAGTGCAGGGGATGGTGCAGAGCAAACCCCAGCTCGATGCAGAGAGGGCAGGACTCAGAGGCACTAAAGTTGAGGGGTTCCGAGGAGCCAGCAGGAGGGCTTCAGCTGTGAAGCCGCTAATCCAGGAGCCAGGAGGGTGGACAGGAGACACTTTGGATTGGAACTGCAGAGTGGGACCGGGGGGACATGACCCCGTCCAGCAGGGCCTTGTGCTTGGCCCCACAGGTACCACTTGGGAGGACCACGCATGGTGTGCGTGATGCTTCCAGAAGACGTAGAGAAGCTACAGCAGGTGGATAGCCTACATCCCCACAGGATGAGCCTGGAGCCCTGGGTGGCCTACAGACAACATCGTGGGCACAAATGTGGCGTGTTCTTGCTGTGAGGGGCAACCTGGGAGCTGGGAGCAGGGTGGGCAGCCTGGGTGTGGTGGGGAGGTGAAAGAGGCAGGACCCGAAAGCACATCCATTCTGAGCCTGTGTGGTGGGCTGTGAGGGTGAGCACCCAGCCCACAGGATGGCCATCCCGTGGGGTCACGTCTGCCCTGCAACTAGGGGAAGCAGGGCAGTGGTGGAGAAATGGGCACGGGCACCTTTGCAGAGGAGAGAACGCAGAGCAATGAGCCATTCTGTGTAGCGAGAACCCGCTCTGCACCGACCTCGGCGGCTTCTTTCTCTTGCGGTCTGGGGACTCTCCTTCCCACAGGTCAGAAAACTGAGGTCCTGAGAAGGGGACGCCCACCAGCCCAGGTCACAGGCTGTGAGCGCTGAGCCTGGTGTTGACCAGGGCCACAGCCTCCCTCACGGCGCTCATGGTCCCTATAGTCCCGGAAAACCTTCGTGATGGGGACAGTCCCGGGCAGGAGGCAGGTGGGGACGCAGATGGCTGGTGGCTCCATTGTTCTCAGAAGCAAGGCACGAGGTGGGGCAGTTGATGGCACTGGGGAGGATGTTTCCTGGCCCGTGGAGAGGGTGGCGCCTGGTCAGGTGGACAGGGAGAGGCTGGTGCTTGAAGTCGGTCACCTGCAGGGACGTTGCCATTAGGACAGGGGAAGGACTGGACGGGGATGTCACAGTGGCGACAGCCCCCACTCCATGGCGGGAAAGGAATTCTCTTGGGAATAGCGGGATTTAGGTAAAAGGGCACCTGTGGTTCAGGGCCTTCACTGAGGCTGGCCGACAGACGACATCTGGGAGGGAATCTGGACCCAGGAAGGCAGGTCCAGGAGGCTGTGTGCGCATAACAGAAGGAAGGAGAGTGCTCCGGTGTGTGTGCGTGTCTCGCATCTGTGCACATGCTGTGTGTTACTCTGCACCTGCATTTGCACATGTGTGTGCATGTGTGTGTACCCAAGTGTCTGTGTGTGCATGTATGATGTGTGGTGTGTGTGCACGGCTGTCTCTGTGTGTGCATGTGCGTGTACACGTGTTTGGGTGTGTGCATGTATGAGGTGTGGTGTGTGTGCACGGGTGTCTGTGTGTGTGCATGTGCAGGTGCCGGCATGGGTGTAGCGTCTGTGCACACGTGTACATGTGTCTCTTCACACATGTGTGTTGAGGTCTTGCACGGGCACACGTGTACATGTGCATCTTCTGTCTGTCATCACTGTCAACTCGGACAGCAGCCAGCTGGACAAAAATAAAGGAGTTTTGCAGGAATGTGGCTGAGAGAGGAAATTCCTCCCCACCATTCCATGGGGGCATCCATGGAGCCCCAACACACTCTGGGTGTGGGTGAGGATGGCATGAGGCACAGAGCTCGGTTCCTGCCCTGCAGAAGATGCAGATGCTTCACAGAGACAGGCAGAGACTGCTGCCCCAGAGGCACTGTGCCCAGGGCAGGGAAGGGCGGGGAGGAGAGGGCAGCGAGGGGCTCTCCCCTCGAACACTGTGTGGGCGAGATGGGCAAAGCTTGATACCAGAGATCACCTCCTCTTTAGGAGAAAAGCCCTCCCCCCCACTACAGGGAGGGCCTGCATGGGTGAGGTGGTGCCAGCCTTGGGGTGCCAGGTCCCAGGAATGACCTGTTACCTCCTCAGCACCTGCGGGCAGAAACTACCGTCTCATCCCTGATTGGACCTGAGTGGCCTTTGCCCAGCACCTGGAGGCCGCTCTGAGAAAAGGCTGCAGCTCGAACACAAACAGGCAGCTTCCGCCAGGCCCCCAGTCAGCTCCCTGCAGGCCGATTCCCCTCGGGGACAAGGAGGATGGGATACGGGTCAGGGCCTGTGTCTTGCTGGGGCGGCCTCACAAGCTCTGCCCTGGACTCTGTAGGAACGGGCCTGAATGGCGCTTCCGCATAACGGAAGGAAGAGGAGCACACCTGTGTGTGTGCGTGTCTTGCATCTGTGCACATGCTGTGTGTTCCTCTGCACCTGCATTTGCACACGT